GTTGATTTTCCATTGAGTTTCAGGAAGATGAACTTGTAATTTGAGATTTTCAAATTTTTCCTCATTTGTATTTACAATTCTACAATTTCTTCTACTTCTTTAGGTTTTTGAATTTATTGTTCTATTTGGATTATGTTTTTGAATCCATTTACTTGTTTAAATTGAAGTTGTGGATGTTAAATTGAGATTTAATGTTGTATTTTAGTTATGGAATGTATGAATTCAGTTTAATGTGTTCATATATTCTTGATGCTCTTGTTTAGATTTCTTTATGTTTTAAGCTAGATCCATATGTGTTTATATGAATTTAGTTTGAGAGGTTTTTTTACCACTTAATTTGGTCTGAAGTAAGTGGCTATGAACAAGACTGAATTACATTTTTAATTTCAATTCACTTGGCTTAAATTCTTTAGTGATCATTGGATTCAATGTTTCATAACACTATGAAAGTTTTAGAGTATTCTTCATTACTCTAATTGTTATTACATGTATGGTTACAATTCTAGAATTCAAGGATTATCATAAGGGATTCTAACTTAAGGTCATCATCTCATTTATTCACAACATCACATTTAAATCAAAAATTACAAACATCTAATTTTTGCATTCTAGACATAGCTGAATTATATCTTCATTTCTTTAATTTATAAGCATTTAAACCATAAATTGTGTGCATTGCTCTCTAAGGAGATGACCTAAAATGCTCCCAACTATATTTTAGTTTTCATTGATGGCCTAAAGCGACTTAAGGTTTCATCATTATCCCTTGTGATTGTTAAAATAGAATACACACAATTACAAAAGATTTCCACAGTTCTATATCCTCTATTCCAACATAATTCAAGACCTGTAAAAAAAAAAACATATAGCTCAAATAATTTCATGTTTGCCTTGAGTAAAAAAATATAACATGGAAAAGTTGGCACAAATTTCATCTTTACTTCTAAGGTCAGATCTGAACAATAATTTAAATTCTTGCATCTTCTAAAGAAAAAGCCCCATCATTAATTAATAATGCATGAACAAATATCTGTATCAAAAAAATAATGTATGAACAAATAAAATTAATAAAAATTTAATATTATGAAGATAATGAATTTATATTTATACTTATATACTAGTCTTATATGCTTATACTTAATATATTTATATTCAATTGAATCATGATAATTTTAATGTGTTAATAAAATTAATAACAATAATTTATTATAGAATAAATAAGGATAAGACTTGTGCACTTAATATTAGATAATTAATATACTTATATCTAATCAAATCAGTACAAGTGAATTTTAATGTATCAATAAAATTAATAATAATAATTTATTATCAAATAAATAATTTATAAAATATTCACATGTCTTGATTCGATTAAAAATAAGCACACTAAATATAAAATGCTAATACTATAAGTATATAAATTTTTCCTTTTTTATTCTATTGTTTGTATCTGGAGAAATACTATAAGTATATAAATTTTAACTGCGGTTTTTGACAAAAAGAAAAGCCACCACGGAAAGTGAAAAGCAGGTCTTTCCCTTCAAATTGAGACCATACTTTTCAATAAAATCAGGCGGTTTTAAAATCAATTAATTCTCTATGAATTTAATATTCCATACAATGTATAAACAGGGAAAATTAGATAATTATGCCGGATGGCAATGCCTGCACCGTGACAAAATCTAAATATCGTCCAATGGCAATCAACGATAATGACACGTCAGTGTTAATATCAATAATCAATAATCAATATAAAATAAAAGAATCAAAATAAGGTATAAAATTTAAGAATCGTACCCATGTATTAAAGTCACCATAGTTCATCCGTGTAGCATGTAATGATCGAAAAGGGAGAAGGGCTGAAGGGGGGTAAAATTTAAAAAGGCCAGTCCTCAAATATAACTAAGAATCATTTAACTACTCCACGTTTATATCACGTTTAGAATTAAATTTGAATTAATTAGAACCAAATCACATAGGTTAATGTGAGTTCTAGGTCTACTTTAAGCAATTGGTTAAGGTTCAATTTTTTTTTTTTTTCAATTGTATATGGATACTTCTAATCTTAAAAAAATAATAATTACAATTAAAAAAAAAAAGCCAGCAAAAGTCACTTCTAGTCAAAGGGTTAAGTACATAACTTTTACTTAAACAATAACATGTGTATTTTACTTATTTTTTTCCATCCTAATTTCCCTTGAAAATAACATATTTCTTCCATTCAAATTGGAACGTGTGTATTTTTAACCCTAACTACTATAACAAACTTTTTTAAACATTTTCAACTTTAAAATAATATATAAATGCCACTAGTTGTAGTTTGATTGGAAAACTTGTATAAATATATAAATTTGTTAAAACACTTGTTTTAATTTGATTGAAAAAAGGTATAAAATTAAGTACATAAACTTCTACTCAAAATTGAAGGAACAACAATCTTTTGTAAAGATGAGTTGAAAATAAATATGCTGATACAATAGTTCAGTTACTTGCCATATTTTTTTATCTTATATAGAAAATATCAAAAAGAATTTTATTTCAAAAAGAAAAGGCTAGAAATAATAAGATGGCAGTTCAATGTGTGAAATTCAGGTGAGCAATTAAATTAAATTAAAAATTGATTATAAATATTATAATTTATAAAAAAAATCACAAATTCGATCAAGTTATAATAGTAAATGGGGCAGCTAAGATAATAAATAGGTAAGTAAATTTTAAAAGAAAATTTAAAAGAACTAAAGAGAACAAAAAATTGTCAAAAAGAGATATAGAGCATTGGTCTTATGATCCATGGTTTTGAAATTTTCATCCAAAAATATTTGACCTAATGTTATGATGACAAATGTAAACAGCAAGGAGAGGAAACTGCCACATCATCTGTTGTTCATTTTGGGTTTAATGCTCAAGTAAGTTGCTTGACTGTACTCAAATTTCATGATTGTCCTTTTTTTGTTTTTTTTTTTTTTGTTTTGAATAATGCTGGAAACTCTATTCAAAACTGAACAAGCACAGATACAATCAAAGAAAAAAACATCCACAGCAAAAACAACCTACACAGAGAAAGCTAAAAGAAAAAACAAGGAAGAATCAGTGGAGAGACTATGATACAACTTGGCTAGATCACACTGTAAAATTAAAGTTTCCGTCCCATTTCTCACACGAATTGTCTAGTAGAATCAGATATTTTGGAAGGAATAATAATTATGATTATCTCTTGTGATTGTTGAAATAGGGTGCACACAATTACAAAAGACTTCCACTGTTCCATATCCTCCATTTCAACATAATTCAAGACATGTAAAAAACCATATATCTCAGATATTTTCATGTTTGCCTTGAGGAAAATAATAATAATAATAATAATAATAACATGGAAAAATCGGCACAAATTTCACCTTTACTTCTAAGGTCAGATCTGAACAATTATTTAAATTCTTGCATCTTCTAAAGAAAAAGCCCCATCATTAATTAATAATGCATGAACAAATATCTGTATCAAAAAAATAATGCATGACAAATATCTGTATAAAAAAATAATGTATGAACAAATAAAATTAATAAAAAATTTAATATTATGAAGATAATGACTTTATGTATTTTTTGAATAGCAACTGCAACATTCATTTCAAAAAATAGAAAGACATGATAGAGACAAAGATGATCAATTAGCTTCTTACCATCCACCATCTTTCTAATATAAGGTGGAAGTTTATCAAATGTGTAGAAAAACTTCAGTAGCATTATGAACTAATCTAGCTAAGTAATTAGCATACAAATTGTAAAATCATAACTTTAAAATGTCAGATTCACCATTTTAAAAATCTATGATAGATGATAAAAAATATGGTGGCATGGAACAATGCCAAAATGAAAACTTAGTTTCAGCTAATTTTATTGTCCATCAGGGGTCACATAAAACTGGTCAGCCACAAAGCAGGAAAAAAATCACATAAAACAGAAACCAAAGAAAATTAACAATTATTATTGAGACCTTCTAACACTCATCAATAATGAAAAAAAAAAAAAAACATTGAGCAAAGTTGAAGTAGACGAAGGAATTCAAACACTTTAGGATAAATTTTACTTTATAATAAATAAAGGAAATAAAACCAAAAGTTTTCGTCATCATCACAGCACAAAAACATCCATAAACCAGATCTAAAATATTCCATTTAGCTTTGCTATATACTCTAGTTTTTTTCCATGAATTTGAATATGGAAAAAACTCCAAAACACAAACCTAGTCAAAGCACTAGATGCAGAAAATTAAGCACCAGTATTCTGCATTAAAATGGATTCAATGCTCAGTGACTAACAAAACAAATTTTTTCTGAAAATTTTATTTGATTTGTTTATAATATTATTATAATTAAGTTATAAATTTCAGTTTTCTTAGAAGAAGCCAAAAACACAGGAAGCAGCACAAAGAAAGACTTTTTATGGGGGTGGGGGGGGGGGAAGCCAAAAACATACAAGAATTTACCAGTAATTTATCCGCTGCCATAATGCCATAGTAGATTCATAGCATACGGGAAAATAAAAATCCAGTTAAATCCCTAAATGGTGAAAAAAATGAAACCAAAAGTGAAACGAAATATTTTAATTTGTATTAAAGTTAAACTTAACACAGTATCACATGGGGAAAACTTAAAAGATGCTTGCCCATTATTCCACTTGAAATAGCAGCCACAACATCAGTCTAATCATAGTTGAATAATTGAATAAATATTTAATATTTAATAGATAATTGAATAAATATTTAATTATCATAAGAGACTAAAAGGGTGGTGGGAAGAAGAAGAAAAAGGAGTATCTTCATGCACTTGCTTCACAAATCTCGCAGTAATAAATAGCAATTCAAATACAGTACTCGTACATTTACATTTGTCAGTTAACTAAAACAAAACAGAGCAAAGGAATCACAATTACATACAATACAACCAGATCTTCTTTTATGACTTGAATTTTGCTGAGAATGAGAGTTAAAGGTTAATGGAAGATGGGAAGTTTTAGGCTAGGCATTGGCAGTTGTATTACCTGTGACGTGGGCCTTGCTTTGCTTTTTGCAGCAAATCTCAAGCATATAAAGGGGAAGGAAAATGGCATCTGAACCTGAGAGAAGCATGCATATGGCTGCAAGAAGCCCCAAAAAAAAAAAACAAAAAGGTGTTTACATACAGGATTTGTAACAATCACAACAGAAGCACAAGAAAAATTTATAGGATTTAGATCCACTGAAATGGCCTAAATCCATTCATTTAATGAGTATCTCACATGGTACGATAATAATTGTTTGATTTAATCAAACAGCTATCAGAAATTTTGTCATATAATATTCAAAAAGTATAAAATCTCAAACTTTTAGAGGAGACAAACAGTGTTCATGAGGATTGTTTTGATTACAGGGAAATGTATCTTAATAATTTCAAATTTTGATAAAATCCAATGGCTGTAATTGAGACACTCATTGAGTGAATGGATTTTGGCCCCTCAACAAATCCAAATCCAAATTAATGGGGAAGGAGGGGGATATTAATAAAATCTCAAATAAAGGGTATAGACAACTGCCCTAATAATCGACTTAACAACCAGAGAAAATATGGTGAAAATCACTGGTAGTCAAAGGGTTTAGAAAGAATTGGAGGTCAGCAAGAGCCAAGAAGTAGGCCAATGGAATGATTTGGTTTGATGACCAAAAAGAGAAGATAAAGGAATTAACATGGCAGCTATAGATATGATGTTCTATTCAAAATTGATTATGTATAATTATTTATTAAAAAAATTATAAAAGTTATTCTAAAATGTATGCACATGAGGCTGTGGTATTCTTATAGAGAAAAGGGTGGAGAACTTAAATTTGAGAGACAATTAGACAGTTAAAATAATAGATAAGGAGGTCATGAAATTTGAAATTAAAAAGAGGGGGAGAGAGATTTTAAATAATAAAAATTTTGGAAAATTAAACTGCAAAATGGAAAACGAAAAAAAGAAAACAAAGAAAAAATAAACACTGTGCTTAGCAATAGTAACTCTTGCCCCCAAAAAATATTGATATAAGGGGGATTTTGCCAACATAAAGGAGTCTGAGAACTCATCCAGGCTCTTGAAATTTCAGGCTGCAATTATGTTTGACTTGATTTTTCGTTTTCAGAAAAGCATTCTCCAAGCAAACTAATTGGCGGGAATCAGATTCAGACTTCAGATAATTGCATCATTATCTACAGACTCCCAAGATTCTATATTAAACTTTGCCCAGCTAATGCAATCACCTTCAACTTACACCTATCAAATGGCAGAAATTAAAAATTTAATTCCTGTCCAGAAGCTCCTGTGCCAGAATAATCCACCATTTTAATGCATTAAGGATGTTCAATCCAGAGTAAAAGTGTTGCACAAAAAAAATACGAGCTCCGACTGATCCCTTATCTAATGCAGATGATGATGAGTGGATGTAAGGTCATCAATAAGCACGCTAGCATTTTCATCTTCAGCACAAGCATATTTCACAACAGTTTCCCAACTCTTTAAATCAAATTGCACCTTTCTCTTCTCCATCTCTTCCAAGACAAAGCAACCACCATCACTCTTCCCACAGTTTAATAGGCCCACGACCAAACAATTAAATGTTTCAGAACGGGGATAATGCTTGCTTGCTAGCATTACATTCAAAATATTCAGACCTCCGTCAAAATCTCCAGTCTTGCAGAAACCATCAACCATCATCCGGTAGGTAGCAGCATTTGGCTCACAACCTTTAATCTGCATCTCAATTAACACTTTGTAAGCTTCTTCTGTCTTACCTTCCTTGCATAGATAATTTATCAATATATTGTAGATTACAACATCTGGCTTCAACCTTCTCTTTCTCATCTCGTGAAGTAAGGATTTTGCCTCCTCAATCTTCCCTCTCTTTCCCAAATCATTCATCAAAACAGAGAAATTGATAGGCTGAGGTTTGCACCCTCGATATGCCATATCAAACATCAGCTTCTTAGCTTCCTCATACTTGTCCATGGAGCAAAAGCTCTCCATCAACAATGCATAAGTTACTTTGCTAGGGTATTTTCCTTTCTTTGTCATATCCTCAAGCAATGTCATTGCTTTACCTATCTCACCCTTTCTAGACAAGAACCCAATGAGACTATTATATGTCACAACACTTGGCTGTACTTTCTTCTCCAACATTTCATCAAACACATCACACGCTTTATCAAACTCATCTATTGCCAGCCATCCTTTGATCATTAAGTTGAATGAAACTGTATTTGGACGAAACCCCATTTTATATGATCCTTTGAAAGTATCATTTGCTTCAGTAAAGCAATCATTATCAATTAAAGTATTAAGAAGTGCATTGAAGGATTGCAACGTACGGATGCAATTGAACTGAGGCATTCTATTGAAAAGTTTGACAGCTTCTTCAGGAAGCTTGGCTTTACTGTAATGCTGAAATAGGGCAACAAAAATGGTTTCTTTGCAGTGTATGCCTCTGTCTTGAATATAAGCAAGAACAGTTTCAACAGCTTCAAAGCTTCTTGATCGAGCTAGTTTGTAGAGTAATGCAGCATAGGAGGGGTAGTCATGCTTGACTCCCTGCCTCTTGCATTCATGAAAAAGAGATATGGCTTCTTCTGGGTCATGCAACTCTTTGACTTGGGTGATGAAAGGTATGCGTTTGCGACTCTTCGAGTTCACAATTCGTGGTCGTTCATGGCAAGGTATGGCTTGAAAATTTTTTGTATGAAGAGTGCGAAATAGCTGAGACAAGGTTTGGTTGGAGTAACGGGTCGGATTAATAGCTTTTTCTCTTGAAAATATCATTCCATTAGAAGTGAGGAGAACATTGATAGCCTGCATAGTCACTACCTAGAATTAATTGAGATCAAAATTTGATACTAATACTACTACTAACAACATCAACAACTAGAGTGGGCTGTGGGCCCCTTACAATTGTTCACAGCTAGGATGAGTAGCACTATTCAAAACTTATGAACATAGGCTTCCTGAACTTTTCATAATTTATATTGCTGATGAGCAGGAATGTCAATAGATAAATATACCACTTTTTAAGTTCTATATTTGCACCATGTGACCAAACTATTGATTTAACATAAATAAGAAATGCCTGTATAAATCAGACTAGAAATACATTTTGTGATTGTCTCTTCAACCCATGCCTCACAACAATTCTAACCACAACACATTTAAAGTTTATCAAACTCATGTCATGAAGGTAAAATTGAGTCGATGGTTCAAACCCTTGTGAAAAAACATATTTATCCCCATACTGTACAGCAGAAGCCTATTGCAAAGCAAAGACTTTTATATGCAAACTATAGTTAGCTGAATCTAGATATAGCAAGACAAGTCCAGGGACATTCAATGTTCAAATTATAAAGACTCTTTGAGTCTGTAGTCTGTAGAATACGGATCAAAATTCTCTTCCTGCCCGAGAGAATTAAACTTGGTGGGAAACATATAGGGACTCATGGACAATTCACTGAAGGAAATAAAGCCATAGGAGCAGCAGACATAGATTCAATACAGCACGATTTTCTCCCCTGTCAAACTAAAATTACGGCCCGACAAGACCACGAATAAATGATTAAGTTGAGCATAGATCATTCCCTTTCCTCTCTCAAACTTATTTTTACTGTGAATAAATAAATAATATGAGGACCTTTCCCTCTTTAATCTCCCTGAGAGTGACACAAAAAGACAAATCCCTCAACCAATGACATGTTGTTTTCAGTTTAATTCTTCCTCGAATGTACAAATAATGAATCATCGAACGAGCAGATATATGACAAGCAAAAGATGAGATGAAATATATGAGACAAAAGAAAAAGCATTGGACATGTAAAACAGATTTCAATTACAAAGCACATTCGCAGAGAGTGAAAATTTCAGACCGGTGTCGGGTATTGGTCTTCAATGAACTGGTAAGAAAAGCAAGTATTGGATAGATAACAGGGAAGCGAATGAGATGGAGAGAAATGACGCACCTGAGATGGAGAGAGAGATTGACAGACTGAGATGAGGGAGAGGTCGACGGCTGCCGAAGCAAGGTCTGGGTTGCGAGAGGTCCAAGGATGCAAACTTGTCAAGTGAGCTCAGACTTCGATTTATTATTATTATTATTATTATTATTTATATAATTATCTATTTTTTATGAACCAAGCCAGCTAGAATCACATAAACATTAAAGTTTTTTAATAAGTACTCAAACACTTTTTAAAAAAAAATTGAGTGTTTCAAAATAAAAAATATTTTAATAAAAATAAAATTTTATTAATAATATTTTTTAATATTATTTTTTATATATTTTTTATTTAATAATTTTTTATCAATTGAGTATTAAAAAAATTATTTTTAAAAATTTATATTTTTATTTTAAAAAAATAAGGTGTAAAATATATTTATTAAATTTTATTAATAAATAAAATTTTATTAAAAATATTTTATAATTTAAAATAATAGGAGTATTTAATACAGTTACATATTCATTGACTAAACTGTCACAACGACTTATGAATTAAGCTACACACTCCTTGGTCTTCGCTTTTATTTTTGTTGGAGGGCATTTCTTTTTATTTTATTTAAATTTTTTCAAGCATTCCTGATTATGAATCGTATCTTCGTTTCATCATCGACATGGATGTATATGAAAAATTTTATATACTTACTTTTATATATTTTATATTTAAAGTACTTATTTTTTATTAAACTAAGATGATTAACGTATATTTTTAATTTTTTAACTTTATGTAAAATTATAATTTTATAAATGCTTTTTTAATTTTTTAACCCTAACATTATTTATTTTAAATTATTATTTTTTATGTCAATTATTATTATTTTAAAAAAAATTAAATTTAATATATCAACATTTAAAAAAATTTTGTTAATATTTAAAAATTCATTGTAAAAATTTGTTGAGATAAAATTATCAGTGTTAGAATTAAAAGACTATAATAACATTTTATAAAGTGAAAGGATTGAAATAAAACGTTATATAAAATTAAAAAATTAAATATATATTTTAGCCAATTAAGATTTATAAATCTTTTATAAGTTATTTATTGGTAGAATTGCATTGATGGTCTTTAGAAGATAATTTATAATATGTAGGGCACAATGCTTTCTAAAATTATATGAAGGTATATTTTAAAATTATTTGTTTTCAATTAAATTAAAAGATGCAGATCTTTTTAGGTTATTTAATGGGAGAATTGCATTAAGGGTCTTTGGAAGAGAATTTATAACATAAAAGGTTCAATGCATTCTTAAATTATATGAAGGGCACAAAGTCTTTAAACGTAATTAAATTTTAAGATTCAATTGCCAAAATGTCCTTATTTCTTTAAAAAAAAAAAAACACTAGCAATGGTGGTTGAATCTCTGGTGGTTTTCTTGCTTCATAATTCACTTTAACATGTAATAAGGATGCTTGAATATTTTTAAAAGAAATATAATTTTAGATTTATAATTGATTTTGATATATTTAAAAAAATAAGATACTTGGATAAATTTTTATTAAATCATAGTTTTACCCACTTTTTAGTTTTGCTTAAAATGATAAAATTAATATTATTCATCAATTTTATAATTCAACTATAACACATGATATAGGGCCAGCTTGTTTGAAATTAAAAAATAAATGATTTTTGAGTAGTTTAAAAATTATATAAAAAGAGATTTTTTTTAGATTTTAAAAAAAAACAGACATTATTTTATGTTCAATTATAAATAGTAAAAAAGTAATTATTCATTATTTATTTTAAACTTTTATGATATCTTCTTTAATTTCTATTTATACAAATGACTTATTATTTAATTACTTTAAAATTTTATAATATATTTGCATATTCTGCCATTTTAAAATGTTTTCTCTCATTTATCATATTAGATTATTTTCAAAAACTATTTAAAATGATTTCTTAAAACAGTCAAAAAAAATAAGCAATTTTTTTTATCAAATAAGTTGAAACCAACAGGCCCATAGTTTATTATATTCAAAATTAATCATATTAATTATTTTTTTCTAATAGATATATAGGTGTTTGGATATTTTTAAGTAAACCATAATTTTAAATTCATAATTAATTTTATCATGTAATAAATGTATTTGAATATATTTTGACAAAAACTATGTTTTGGCATTTAAAATTATTAATTTTGTTATCCAAATATGTGCCATTTCTTTTAATTACTTAACGTATCCATGTCAATATTGCATTTGATATTGACAGGCATCAATACTTCTTCAATACATATTAGAATATTTATTTTTATATTATATTTTTTAAAATTTTTGAGATGATACTTCAAGGCATTTTTTTAAAAAAAAATTAAATTGTGTTAAAAAAATGCAATATTAATCTTTTTATTGATAATATCTTTTTTATGAAGCGCTTTTAAATTAAAAGATTAGACGATGAATGGGATAACTATAATGGAGTTGAAATGCTGGAAGTCACAACCTATCACTTGATAAATCATACACAAGAGCTTTATTTTCTTAAAGAATGATTTTTTTTGGCCAACTTTAAATAATGATAGAGGGTGAGAAGATATAACAATCAATGATTATAATTTGTTTAATATCATTATTAAAGAATTATATAAGCATGTTAGTCTTTATGTGTATTTTAAATTTTATACATATATATAATGTATCTTTATTTATTATTAAATTTACTCGACAATATCATTTTCTATACGTTACTTGTGATCATTTAGCTTATAAGTTTAAATGCAACCAGGAATTTGTCACTACAAAAGCAGTTCCTGAATGGATAATTCGCAATATTCAAAAATAAGTAAGGAACAGGCAATACAATCAACCTCTTTTGTGGCATAAAAGAATATTAATGATAGAGCTAATAGTGGCAAAAACAAAAGAAGAATACACCTCTCTCATCCCAGCATCTCAAACCTCAAACAACTTCAGATATGAGACCTTCCACACAAGAGATCAATGACAAAAATACATTTTGGCGCTGGTTTTAAAAATAAAGCTCTCATCTATGTGAGATTTCTAATGGAAAGACACTTTTTTTGTTTTGTTTTTAACCTACTAGAAGTTTCTTTTTTTCTCATGACTCCTATAAATCTAAAGCGATAATCAAGTGGCCCATTTGAATTAATGAAATTAGAACAAATTTTGGTTGCTGAATCCCTTAAAAGGCTTCATTTGATTCACAAGATTAATGATAATGGAGTGACTCGATAAGGAATGAAATAAGATGAAAAGATAATAATCATCACAGTAAATTTGTTTAGTAAGATATTAAAAATATTAGAATAAAATTTATTTTCATGTTTGAATTCAAATCCACCCAATATTTCTACATGCACGCGGATCAATTTCAATCCAACACAACAATCGCTTTGCTTCTGCACTAGAATTAACAAATAGAAAATTTAATATAGGAGAACTGGGATTTAAAATGCATGAAGATAAAGCTAGTGTGGGTTGCGCCCATAAATAATGAAGCTAAAAGGAACAAAAATCCTCCAAAAACGACCTCAAAAACTAATCAAAATCATCAAAAACAAAGAGAAGGTTCAGAAATCACTCTTCCAAAACGGTACTTTTCTCACTGACGTAGATACCGTCTAGGAACTTCCTAATGTCTTTGTTCTTCACGTGACAGACCTGATTTATGAGGGCCGCCGAGCGAGAGACGAGCTCAATGTCATTTCCACTTAACATGAGCTCATCCTTCACCTTCTCAGATCGTTCAATGGAGACACCATCAAGCATCTCAACTTTCCTCACCTGAGAAAAGGGTAAAGCCAATACAACATCAAATCCAATCGCTTATATGTAAATATATAAGTGAGCCCGCTAGATAGGGATCCACATTTGGTACTCATCACCCATTGGAGTGATCCTGACCCTTCATGTTACCTCAAAATGATCTATGCCATTGATTTTAAATTAATTTTTAAATATTTTAAATATTATATTTGTGAAAAATAACAAATATATAAAAAATTTTAATATTAAATTTGGACTACCTTTAATGCTCATTAGGTGATAAGCACCATAGTACCCATAACCTCTAAGAAAATATGGTCCGTCCAAATTTAAGTTTTTATTTTATTTTATATTTGTCAAAATAAAAATGTACAAAAAATATCATATTTTTAATAAATTTGTTCATCATCAATCTTGTCAATACAGATTTAACCTGGAAGGTTCAATTTAATATAATTTTTTTATAGCTTTTGTAAATTAGATTTAGAGCAAAATTAGATTTGGTACTTGGAATGTTGAGACATTAAATTGTAAATCTGTAGAGGTTGTAGGGGTTATGATTCAAAGGAAAATCAATATCCTTTGCTTGCAAGAAACAAAATGGCGTGGAGAAGGAGCTAAGGATATTCAAGGTTTCAAACTTTGGTATACAGGAAAAGTAAGTGCACGCAATGGAGTAGGCATCATTATAGATAAGGAGTGGAAGAAGAACGTTGTAGAAGTTAGCAGAATTGGAGACAGAATTATTTCTTTAAAAATGATAATTGGACGTAAGACTGTTAATATTGTTAGCGCTTATGCGCCGCAAGTCGGGACAGAAGCCAGTCTTAAGGAATTATTTTGGGAGGATCTGGAGGGGTTGATTCGACACATACCACAGAGTGAAAAGATTTTTATTGGAGGAGACTTTAATGGACATGTCGGGAGGGAAGCTGGTCAGTATGCGAGGGTGCATGGTGGTTTTGGTTTTGGAGAGCTAAACAATGAAGGGCAAACTCTTCTTGATTTCTCATTGGCGTATGATTTTAAGATTGCCAACACTTGTTTCAAGAAGAGAGATGAGCATCTCATCACTTACAAAAGTGGAGCCTCAAGGTCGCAGATTGATTTTCTTTTGGTTAGGAACACAGATAGAAAACTTTGTAAAAATTGTAAGGTGATCCCTGGAGATGCTGTAACGACACAATATAGGGTCCTAGTCCTTGATGTGTGTATTATGAGTAAAATCCAAAAACGTCGACAAGTAGTAACACCAAAGATTAGGTGGTGGCAATTAAAAGGTGAGAAGCAAGATATTTTCAAGCGAAATCTTTTGGATAAAGGAATTTGGGATTCTCAGGGAAGTGCTAACATCATATGGGAGGATATGGCTAAAAAGATACGGGAGGTTGCAAAAGTAGTTTTGGGAGAATCGAAAGGTTCTGGTCCGAGAGATAAGGAGTCTTGGTGGTGGAATAATAGTGTACAGGACAAAATCAAGTATAAGAAGAACTGTTTTAAAGCCATACATTTGTGTAACAATGAGGAAAATTGGGAGAGGTACCGTATGGTTAAGAAGGAAACTAAGAGAGCTGTTGGTGAAGCTCGTTCCAAAGCTTTTGAAGAATTTTATAAGAACTTTGAGACGAAGGAAGGAGAGCAAAATATTTATAAGATTGCCAAGAGTAGGGAAAGAAAATCAAGAGATCTAGAACAGGTAAGGTGTATTAAGGATGAAGAGGGAAGAATTTTAGTTACAGATGATGAAATTAAAAATAGATGGGAGACTTATTTTTCTAAACTTTTCAATGATGGAGAGGATTCATCTAGTAACTTGGAGGATTTAGTAACTGGTGAAGGAGAACAAAATTTGTCATTCTATCGAAAAATACGTGATAAGGAGGTAAAGGAAGCTCTTAAGAAAATGGCAAATGGTAGAGCTAACGGACCTGATTGTATATCTATCGAAGCGTGGAAATGTTTAGGTGAAGAAGGGGTGAGATGGTTAACTAAATTATTTAATGTGATTTTACGGTCCAAGAAAATGCCTGATGAGTGGAGGAGAAGTACATTAATTCCTATTTATAAAAATAAAGGAGATATTCAGAATTGTACTAACTATAGAGGGATTAAACTCATGAGCCACACAATGAAATTGTGGGAGAAAGTAATTGAGCACAGGTTGAGATTGGAGACAAGTATTTCTGAGAATCAATTTGGTTTTATGCCAGGTAGATCAACTACAGAGGCAATTTATCTACTAAGGGGATTAATGGAAAAGTATCGTTGTAAAGACAAAGATCTACACATGGTTTTTATTGATTTGGAAAAAACTTATGACCGTATACCAAGAGAAGTGCTTTGGAAAGCGTTGGAAAAAAAGGGAGTACGGATTGCTTATATTAAAGCCATACAAGATATGTATGAGGGGGTAAAAACTAGTATAAGAACGCCTTGTGGTCAAACAAAGGATTTTCCTATAAAGATTGGACTACATCAGGGATCATCTCTAAGTCCTTATTTGTTCAACTTGATTTTAAATGTTTTGACGGAACATATTCAAGAGGAAATCCCGAAATGTATGCTCTTCGCGGATGATATAGTTCTTATAGCAGAGACAAGAGAAGAGGTTAATTGCAAACTTGAGTTATGGAGGAGGACATTGGAGTCGAAAGGTTTTCGTCTGAGTAGAAGTAAGACGGAATATTTATATTGTAAATTTGGTAAAAGACTATTTGAAAATAATTTGGAAGTGAAATTGGGAGATCAAATCATACCTCAAGTGGAAAAGTTTAGATATTTGGGAGCCATTATTCAAAATGATGGCGAAATCAATGGAGATATTTCACATAGAATTCAAACTGGGTGGTTTAATTGGAGAAAAGCTAAAGGAGTTATTTGTGACCGTAAGGTGCCTAATAAACTTAAAGGAAAGTTTTATCGTACTGCTATCAGACCGGCAATGTTATATAGTAGTGAATGCTGGGCTCTAACGGGACAGCAAAAGCATAAAGTTGGAGTAGCAGAGATGAGAATGTTACGATGGATGTGCGGACATACACGTAAAGATAAAATTCGAAATGAGCACATACGTGAAAAAGTGAGGGTGGCACCTATTGAGGAAAAAATGGTAGAAAATCGGTTGAGATGGTTTGAGCATGTACAAAGAAGACCAAAGGAGGCACCGGTGAGAAGAGTGGAACATATAACTTTGAGTCCGATTAAGAGAGGTAGAGGAAGGCCTAAGAGAACACTCTTGGAAGTTGTTGAACGTGATCTCTTAATTAATAATATTTCTAAAAGCTTAATAAATGATAGAGCACAATGGCGTCTTGCAATCCATGTAGCCGACCCCACCTAGTGGGATAAAGGCTTGTTGTTGTTGTTGTTGTTGTTGTATAGCTTTTGTAAATTAACTATCCCAACATAATCTGTACAGACATATAAAATTGATAGTACAGACATAATCTGGACAATCCAATTTAATATTAAATTTTTTTATAATTTTTAAAATTCCTTATTTTCACAAATATAATATTTAACAACAAATCTTATCCCACTAGATGAGGTCGGTTATGTAGATTGCACAATGCAATTATCCTCACAAATATAATATTTAAAAATTAATTTAAAATCAATGAAAAAAATCATTTTGAGCTGAAATGAAAGACCAGGATTACCCCAATGGATGATGAGCACATACCAGTATGCAGTTAATTAAAATACAATTATACCAATGCAATGGCCATCCTAAAAGGCAATAACACAAGCAGGAAACCAGCAGAACAACAACAATACTATAAATGCCCAGAACTAAGAAGACTAGGGATTATATGACGAACAACATGGAAAAACAAAGGGTCTACTTCGTTGATAAATGAATTAAGATCACATATATGGGCACAGTAGTTAGAGTCTTAGTCGATGCCAAATATCATCCACCATCAATATATGGGCTCAAAGGTCAAATGAAAGGACCAAATATTATTTGCATAAGCCTATTAATGAAGGAAGTTCTTTGCAGGGCTTTATTCCTTCACCTACTCCCTTATCTGTTTAATTGTTTCGATGTGGTACAAAGGAGAACTAATCAAAATGCTGTAGGGATCAAGTGTTTATTCAAGCATTGAACAGTGACAGTGAACAGTGACTTCCAAGGGTTTAGGGGAGGGTATTGTTATGTAATTGTAATATTGAAATAAATGTTATTTATTGTTATATTAGTTGCTATTAGTTAGCTTAATTGGGGCAAATAACCATTGGGTTAGGGGTGTTCAATCTGGACCCGTCCCGATTGGCCCGATATCATCCCAATCATATCGGGACGGGTCTTGTCCCGGCCCGAAAGTAATCGGGACGGGACAGGAAAGGGGTTTGGGACGGGACGGGACACGGGACTACCATCGGGACGTCCCGTCCCGTCCCGAATATTATATATATTATTTTTTATTTTAAATATACTAATTATATTAATATAATTTATACTTATATTAAGTATATCAATTATACTTTTAATACTTACAATTCTTATTTAAAACTAAATTTTTTTTATATTAATAATTTTAATGGCATGGAGTAAACATAACAATATCTTTCTTTATAATATATTAATTATATTAATATAATTTATTCTTATATCTATCTATTTAATAACTTTTATTTATAACATATTTCTTGCTTATTTTTAGAAGAGTAATTAGCTTAGTACATCTTCACTAAAGTAGAAGAACAATGATTTGATATTGTGCTTGACTTGCCTATTGTTGCTAATCTTACAGCATAAAGATCACTTGTATTTGTTATTATAATATGTAGTTGTGATTAATATAATTCAATAATTGATTTTAAATTATTGTTATTTATGTGCTTGTGTTATTTTGATTTTAAACTTAATAAATTATATGATTTAAAATTTTAATGAATATTATTATCTAGATTTTTTTTCAACATTATTCCATTTATCGGGACGACGGGACGTCCCGATCTTGTCCCGGTCCCGTCCCGACTCTTAACGGGACGGGACGACTTTCGGGACGGGACGGGACACGGGACCAAAATTCAGTCCCGATCTTTTTTTCGAAACGGGACACCGGACGGGGGTGTCCCGATCTCATCATCCTGTGAACACCCCTACATTGGGTAGTCATAAGAATTAGGAGTCTATATATACGCTTTTGCTATTCCAATGGATTGATCATTTTACTCAGCACCATAAGGGTTTGATATTTTTTTACCGCGAGTGAAATAGCATAGAAATAGAGAGAAGAGGGAGACAGGGAAGAACCGAACAGAGGAGAGAGAAAAGTGAAAAGTGAAATATTATTTTTCACTTTTCTCTCTCCTCTGTTCGGTTCTTCCCTCTTATCTCTATTTCTATACTATTTCACTCTCTTTATATCTCCTGTAGATATTATTCTTCTATAATAAGAATAGAAAAGTGAAGAACAACAACGAAACGCATCAGTAATCAAAGTAACAAATTCAGACGCTTGTTATCCAAAAATTAAATACAACATCAAACATCAATCAGTTACTAGATAAATACCACAGCAGGAAAAAATTATGATGACGAACAACAACGAAAAAATCTACAACAAAAAATGGAATTGAAGTGTAACAGTAATCAATACAGACACAAAAAAGCAGGTTGATCGATTATATTGACCAAGATAAATTACACAAACCAAAATCCCATCTTTGACGAATAGTTTTTTATGATATAATATTTAAGCCTAGATCCTTAATTCATCGTCTACACAGAATAGGGAAAGAGAAGAGTACCTTTTTCTCCCCAAGGAAGTTACGGATCTCAATGGACCTGTTGCCATTGGTGATCGAAGCATTAATCGGAAAGTGGGCGTAAACGAAACGCATCTTATACCGGTAGCCTTTGGTCACGCCGGTTATGAGATTTTCAACGTGACTGAGAGCAGTTCGGATGGCGGCGGAGGTTTTTCTGGATCCGAACCAAGAATCGACCTTAAGCTTCTTCTGGCCATTATCGTCGGTGATGAGCTGAAAATCCAGATTCAGGTGCTTGAAATCACGAACAAGCTTGCCACGAGGCCCCTCTACCTCGATAACCTTCGCGTGTATCTTAATGGTTACCCCATCGGGGATATCCATGGTTTCAGATGAAAGAATAGTCTTCATTCTTCGCGCCCTCCAGCTCCCTCCGCCGCTCTCTGCCCCTGCTCTCTGACGCAACGCTAAAACCCTAAAGGGGGTGGGATTAGGTTTAGGTTAGCATATAAAAGGCTGACGACACGGGTATATTATAAAATAAGCCCGCCGCTAAAATTTTGTAGTAAATTTGTCTGAGTTAGTATAATATTTTAGAAAAATCCATACAAAATTTTTTTGTAGGAATTCTAATTATTGTAAGATCTCATGAAATGCAATAAGCCACTTAAAAACCTTAAACATTTTTTATGTATAATTATCAAAATATTATTATTTTATTTTTTTAAAAAATAACTATTGGACCACTTTAACTATTTTATAAAATAATATAAAATAGTATATATGATTAATAACTAGTTTTTAGAATATTAATAATAACTTGGGAATAAATAATCGATAACTTGAGTATAAAAAAATAATAACCTAACATGAAAATAACAACTTAATTCTATATAAATAATAACGTAATTTAATGTAAATAACATCGTAACTTGAGGTTAGAAAATAATAGTATGGTACATGTAAATAACCAAAAAAAAAAAAACAACTTGAATTTACAAAATAATAACTTTGGTATACAAAATGACAACTTCAATAAAAGAAAATAATAATTTGACAAGATTGTTAAATTCGAGAGCTTAAATAAACTCGTGATAGAGATGTAAATTCAAAATATAGACTCAAATTATAAATTTATAAGAGTTTATCTTTATTAATAAATAACTTTTAAAAATATATAATTAAATAATTAAAATATAAAATATTATCATAATTTAATTTAAATATATATATAATTTATATCTATATTTATATATTATTATACTCAATACAATATAGGGCAACTTATTTTTGATATTTTTATTTTTTATTAATATTAGTTTCATTTTTTTGAATTTTTTTTCATTAAACTGGGTCCCACCATTTATGTGAACCAAATTTTACATGATATATACCTATTTTGCTCAACTAGTTTTATGAGTGGATTTGCACTATTTATAAACTAAAAACATAAAAATTGTAAACTCAAAAAGTTAACTTATGAGTTTAACTAAGTTTTATCTAATCTGAGTTTACGAGTAAGTTAAACAATTTTGTAAGTTAAAAATATAAAAATGATAAACTCAAAGAGTTAACGTTTGAAAACAATAAATTTAAATATAATTAAATAAATAACAATTCAAATATGCATAAATAATAGCTTAAATTTAATAAAATAACAATTTCAATCTTGAGAATAATTTATGCATTTTATGGGTCCTTATAATAATTAAAATTTCTATGAGAGATTGTCTAATGATTTTCTCATAATTTTTATAATAATATTAAGCAAAACATATTATTTATTAAGTAGAATTAAAATTATCCTTTCTTATAATTAAGAAAATAGAATATCTATTCTTGATTATATAATATCATACAGATGATTCCAAAATAAATACTACTTTCTATCCTGAAATCATGAAATTTATAAATGTAAGCAGTAAAAGATATTAGTAAATAAATAAAATATTTATCTATGGAAATATAAGAAACCTGTTTTTCAAAGAAAATTTTTTTTTAATAAATATAAAAGTTTAGGTGAATTGGATCTAAAGTTGAGGTGAATTGGATCAATTTTTTTAAGAAAATCTAATCCTTTATTTTAAAAGAAAATATAAAAAGACCTTAAAAATAAAAAAAATTAATATCAAAATTTTTAAAAAATAATTTCTTCATAAAATGTATTAAAATATTAATTTTGAAATATCAACTGAAAATATAAAAATATTGGATATGGATCAAAAATTTAAAAAATAATAAAAATAAAGTTCAATATTTTTTACATACGCATACAAAAATAATCGGCATGTATAATTAATTATTTTTAGATTTTATAGTATTTTCATGGATTTATATTTTATAATAATAATATTTTTATTTAATTATTTTAAAATTTTATAATATCTTCATATATCTCCATACTTTTAATGGCATTCTCTTTTATTTACTACATCAAATAATTTTTTTCATAATCTAATTATTTTTAAAAATTTAAATAAACTATAAAATCTTAACAAATAAGTTTCTTTTAAAAATAATAATAATAATAATTTTTCATTTAAAAAAAAAAGGCTAAAACACACGAGCCTAACATTATTCGAAATAGACTCAGCATCGAATGTAAATCTCTCTCCCTCATCTTAAATACCAGAGGAAAAATTCACTTCTTTTCTCTTGATCTAAGAATGCCAGCTGCGAAATCATGTTATTTTTTTCTTTCTTTGAAAAAACTAACAAAACTTTTAAATGATAAGCTATGTTTTAATGATGGTTGGATTGTTTCACTCTGCCCAAAAAAATTTATTTTCAAACTTTTATATATAAAAAACTCTAGGCACAATATTAAAAGTAATATAGACTATAATTATCTGAACTTGCAGTGTACTTTAAAAAACAATACCTTCAAACATTTTGTTTTTAGATGACAACGATAATTATAATTTAATTTTCAATTATTATATTTTAGAACATTTGTTTCGTATTATGTTGTATTTTTATTGAGTTAAATGGTAAAAATATTTTAAAATTTTTTTTCTGAGGACACATAATATCTTAAATTTTTTTTTGAAGTATTTTTCACTCAAAAGTTTCAAAGACAGAGCAATTTTTTCCCACCAAATATTAAAAAAATTAATCATTAACTAAAATTTGATTAAAATATTTTACAATTTTGCCTTCTTTCATTTCTATATTTTTGAATCTTTGTTTTCATTCGTTGGGAAAAAAAAGTTAAAGAATTTACTGATAAATAAAATTGAAGATTAAACATAAAAGGAAGAGGAAAAACTAAAAAAATATCTTTGATCAAACTTTAATTTAACGATTAATGTTTATAATTTTTAACGATTGAGTGAAAATGCTTTGTTTTAGAAACTTTTGAGGCAAATATATTCAAAAAAAAAAAGGATGCCAAACGTCTCTAAAGAAAAAATTTTAAGATAATTTTGTCCTTTAATCCTATTTTTATTTGTCTTTAGAAAAATCATGATTTGGACCTAAAAACATTTATATTTGCATTTATAGGTTATATATGCATATATAAAAGCTCCAAATTAGTGGGGGGAAAAGGGCGGCTAATTTTTTTGGAAGAATTTCAAGAAAAACCCATTTATTACACTTATTTAAATTCAAAGCCTTTAAATTTTTAAAATTTCCCTACAATCCAAAATTATTAATTTGATATTAAATTTTTGAAAAAAATGAAAAAATTACCCTTCATTTAAATTAATATATGCCTTGCTTCACTTATTAATTACCCTATTTTACTTGTTCATTTATTTATAAAATATTATTAATTATTCTATTTTACTTGTTCATTTTCTTGAAATAAAATCAAGTAAAAGTTTGACAATGAACAACAGTCGGTAAGTAAATGAGCAACACACAATATAAAAATTAACAATTTATTTTAAGATGATTTAAACACCTCAAATGAAAACAAGTGGGCAATTAACAATATTCTATAAGTAAATTAATAAATGCAGTAAAATAATGAACAAATGAAACAGGAAAGTTTTAATATTAATTTAAATGACAAACAATTTTGTTTTCTTTTTAAAAATTTATTATCAAATCAGTACTTTCTGAACTATAGTGTAATTTCAAAAATTTTAAAGCTTAGAATTTAGATAAATGTAGTCAAGATGTCTTTATCAAAATTCTTCCATTTTCTTTTGTTTTTCTTTTTAATTTAAAATGATATTGTTTTAGGTTTTGAAAGAAGAGAAAAGAAATATAAAATACAACATAATCCATCCGTCCAAAACCCCTGACGTCAAGATATTTGGGCTCCTATAGGTAGAGCTGGAAATTCGGGCGGGACGAGCTTATTCAGACCGAATAAGCCCGAACCCGAACAGGCCCGACTCCTTAAAAAGCCCGAATAGCCAAGCCCGACCCGAATTTCTTCGGGCTTCGGGCGGCCCGAATACCCGAATTTAATTTTTAAAATTATTTTTTTACTTTGAAATTAATTATTTTATTTTATAAAAAATATAAAATATATTTTTTAATACTTAAATGATGTATAGGACTCAAATATATGGTATTTTAGTATAAAATGATCTAAAACTTAAAGAATTAATTAATATTTATTATATTATATATATTTTTTTTAAAATATAATTTTTTTATTCAGGATTCGGGCCAAGCCCGAACTCGATCGGGCTTGGCCCGAATTTTTTCAGGCCGGCCCGAATAGGCCCGAACATAAAAAACCACTTTTTTTCTAAGCCCGGCCCTAAAATTTTTCGGGTCAATTCGGGCTAGTCCGTCGAGCTTGACCCGAATTACCGGCTCTACCTACAGGCTATAAGTAACATAATATTTGTTTGGGACCAAATAAATATGAAATTCTTCCACAATTCCGCAAGACTACAATAAAAATATGTTCAGATGTAAAAAGTCTAAAACACCCGTAATACAAATGCAATGTTATTTTTGTTATTTACAACTAGATGTTCAGATATTGGCAACAAAATGTTTGAATTTTGGTAAATAAATTTTTTTAAAGCCATCATTTACTCAAAATCCATATATGAACTTGTGAAAAATCCATATACGTTGTTGCTAATTGTGTTACTTGTTTTTTTTTTTTTAGGGTAACTTGAAGTTTTAGGATAACTTGTTATTTCTTTATTAAAAAAAAATATTTTAAAAATACAACCTATAATAACCAAAGATTAACTTGTCAAAATCCGCATACATTATTGTTAATGATAGAACTTTTACTTGTTGATTTTTAAGGTAACTTGGAATTTCATATCCGACCTCATCCAACCAAAGATCGACCTCTTAGATTAGAATATGTTGTCATTAATTACATAACTTTTACTTATTAATTTTTAAGTTAACATGGAATTTTCAATATATAATGACCTAGAAAAAATTACTTGTCAAAATTCAAATATTTAGTTATTATTAATATTTGAACACCTAGATGTGAGATACATAACAACATCTTGCATTTACATCAAAGGGTGTTTTAAAAATTTCAAAATTATATAGG